CTATATATAAAAAATCATGTGATATGACGTAATTTCGACCATTTCGACTTTTCATTTTGACTTTGACCTCTAAAGTCGAAACATTTCGACTTTTGGGTTTCCATTTCAACTTCATGTATAATCCAGATATACTAAAGTCATAGGATCTGCCTTAGTTTGCATAGTCAAATCTTTAGCTTCTTATTCTGACATTGATGACATATCTATCAGATTATCTAGTAAAGAGCCTCCTAATTATGAAAAATATATGTCAGTAGCCATTTCACCTATACCTTTTTGCTAACCCCTTATATCTAGAATTCGTGAATTTATCAGCTAAGACATAGTGATATAATTTTGCCCGAATATGTGTAGTCATTAAAATCACATTACCAGGAGTCTCGTCCTTATATTTGCTAACTGTTTGATCTCCATTAAGATTAAAGAGGTCAGGTCGCTCAGACATATCTTTATAGATATCTTTAGTCTTAGTTTTGAAGAAGTAAGAGTCTGTATTCATATAGCTAAGTTCAACATTATCCCCATATTTTTCCTTCAAATATCCATATCAGAATTTATACATGTGAAGCTTATTAAGTCCTAAAATAGATGCTTCAAATATGATAGGCTTGTTGAGAGTCACGCTAGCTTTTCCTATATGCGTTTCTACTAATATAGGTCCAAGTGGTCTGCCATACTTGAAAGATAGCATGCGGATCTTATTCAAGAAAACTTTTTCATCTTGCTAATTATTATTCTTCATAATCTTGATATTCTGGTACTTGCGAACATTTTCTATAGTCTTGCCATATACTGATACATTCATAAGTTTGAAAAAGTCACTCAGGAATGTATTTCCAGCTTTTTTAGCCTCATTACGTTTCTCAGTATTAAAAGATATATAAAGTTCAAGCCAGTTAGTCTGGTCGAAGGAGAGTATCTCTTAAACTTCATCTACAATCATACCTAATTCTACATAGTATTGAAGCTCCAGGTAATGAATGACATAGTTCTTTCGTGATCTAAGATAGGAAACTAATTTTTCTGTGGCAGAGAAGCGTCCACCATCTAATTGTTCTACAAGTTTAGCATTATAAGGATTCCACAGCTAGAGGCAAGTCTTTTAAATATTTATGAGTCTTTAGACGAAAATGGGAATTAATCATTAAGTAGAATTCACGTTTAGTATCAAATCATGTAATGATAATTTTTTCAAGATATTTCTTCTGCATAGCTGGATTTTTTAGTAAATATTCTCGACTAGTTTCTCATTGATAATTTCTGATAGGCAAATATTGGCTCATAGAATGTCCATAAAGATTTGTTGCGTCTACATACGAGATCCAAGATGTAGGTTTAGATGGACTAAATTCCTTTCCTATCTTAGGATTATTGGCCTTAAAATATCGTTGACAGGCTATAGATATACCACCATGTTTAGCTTTTTCGATAAAATCATGCATGGCCATATCTGTAAAAAGTTCAATCCTAACTCCTGATATCTTAAGCATACCATTCCAGAATAGTGATGAGGCAGAAACATAGTGACTGGGATCAAGTTCATAATATTCTATAGACATTTTTTGAAACTCTGTCCAGATATCTGCTAGACTAAGTATATCAGTTTTAAGATAGAGATCATAGTATTTACCTAGATTTTTACATCTGAATTTCTTCCATACTTTCTGAGCGTGTTTGTAATCATCTTGTGAGATTTTACTTTTAAGAGTACTATAAAATTCATGAATGGGAGGAAATTCTGTCTCCTGAAACCTATTATGAGAATTGATATAGTCATAGAAATAAACTCCTTTGCGATATACTAATGATAATTACTTCTCTGTATAACCTAATTTTTTGAAATATTGACTTGTTATTAGGTGATTATCACCCAAATTTTTTGTAAGACTGGCCAAGCTACTATTCATGAACTGCATGCTATCTATATATTTGAGTTGGCCTACCTTCAAAGATTTGTATCGCTCAAATGTTTCAGCTATAACTTGAATATGAAAGGCATTAGCTGATTATCCAACAGATTCACATATCAAGTAAAAGTCATAACCTCAGAAGTTATGGAAGATCACTGGTATTGGAGTTTTCTAATCCTGTATTTGGAGTTTAAGATTACAATCCCTATGAGCTGATCCACAAAACTTACCTGTGATATGACAGTGATCCCAGACCTTATTAGCTTTAGCTTTTTTGCTAGCAATTGCCTTAGTCGCATTATCAATGGTTGTTTCAATACCATTATATTCAGCTGAACCTTTTTTAAACTTTTCTAGCTTCTCTTTAAGACTGTTATTTTGTTTTCTAGATACTCAATTTTATCTATATCTATATTAAACTTACCTTTACAGATCCAACAGTTAATTGCTTTTGCAAAATTTTTTTTATCTTCTTCAGTCTCAATTCGCTCATGTTTGATGGCTAGAATCTCATTGATTTTAACCAGCTCCTGATCAATTCTTCAAACGAATTCCTGTGTAGCATTTTCTCCTTGTATAGGAAAGAATCCCATACATCTCTAGTATCAATCTAGTGGACTAGATAACAGAAACTATTGGTCTTCTGCTTAGCGAGTTTAATCATACTTCCACCATATGCTTCATTATACTTCTTGTTACCAGCCTTGAAATCAGCTATAATAACACATGATGCATTGATCATTCGACCATAGTTCTTGAACTTCTCAAAATTATTAACTCCTTTCACTGGCATTCTGACTCTTTGAGTGGCATTTTCATGTATTCCTAGACACCATTCTAAATGATGTTCTAGAGACTTTTCAGAAGGCCAGCTTATAGTGCATCCATCACATAAAATTTCTTTTCTTTATACGCATTATCACTATATATTAATCTGCTAGGATTTTTGATCCAAAGAAAGTGGTTCTTTTACTTATACTAATTTGTCTCATTATCTTTAGTAATATCTGTAAGGACCAATAAATAAATTTTATGTTTCTTTTAAAGTTTTTACTAGCTATCACAGGTTTTGGAGTAGCTATTTCTTCTTTTCATTCCTAGACACTGATGGAGATATCTGAATTCATCTCCTCAATCTTATTAAATATACGTGAGCAGATGGGAGTAGGCATTGGGATTCCATCTAGCTTGACTATATCTAAATATGGTTTATATTTAGTAGCTCAAAAGATTCTTTCAAGATGATATGTATGCCCATCCTGATCTACAAAATAGCAACCTAATGCACCTTGAAGACACTTTTCAGAAGGTCTATTTGTTTCTG